ACACACACACACACACACACACACACACACACACACACACACACACACACACACACACACACACGTCTCGTGTGTAATTATTCATGCATGCTTCCTCCTCATATTCACACTACATGTGTGTTTGATTCCTCATTCATTCACATTGCAGTGTTTGTTCTATTGTGCAGTGTTTCTGTTCCACAGTTAAGCTGCACACATACAGACGCCGTCACAGCAACAAAGATGCTTTTCAATAATTCATATAAAGCTGCAATAAATATTTACTGAAAAAAAAAAACAGAAAATCAGAAATGTTGCCTTGCCTACTAAAACTGAAATAAAAATAGCTTAAAACTAAATCAAAATATTAAAAAAGTACAAAAAATATTAAAAGCATGGCATAAAAATACTTAAAAATCATAAATTCAAATAAAAACATAAAAAGAAAATCTAATTCAAAATAATAATAAATATTAGGATATAAATATGATGTAAATAACCCTGAATACAACACGGGATACAAAATCCCCACTCAATGAGCACCAAATACATGCAATTAGATTCGATTCTAATCAAACTGCCCACTAAAAACTTTCCCCTCAGTGTAACAATTATTATCAGAAGTGTAGAACATTAAAAAAGACAATCATAATCAAAACATCAATAATATAAAATGAACCATGATTTGTGTGTCAGAGACTGATTCTCATGATATGACACTGTGAGAAACAATGATCTGCTGAAAACAGCGAAAATATAACATTGTAAAAACAAAAACTATATTTTCAATAGAAATAATGCGAAGTTTCACAGTATTGTCTGAAATATGCTGAGAAACTTATTTCTGGAATGTTGTCTTCATTCATTCACTCACTCACTACTGCAGTAAATTCATTTGGAAGCGTGCGTGAGTGAGTTTGTGTGTGTGTGTGTGTATGAGTGTGTGTGTGTGTGTGTGAGTGAGTGAGTGAGTGAGGGAGTGAGTGAGTGAGTGTGTGAGTGAGTGAGTGAGTGAGTGAGTGAGTGTCTATGAGTGTGTGTGTGAGTGAGTTTGTGTGTGTGTGTGTGTATGAGTGTGTGTGTATGAGGGTGTGTCTGTGTGAGTGTGTTTTTGTGAGTGTGTGTGAGTGAGTTTGTGTGAGTGTGTGTGTCTATGAGTGTGTGTGAGTGAGTGAGTGAGTGAGTGAGTGAGTGAGGGAGTGAGTGAGTGAGTGTGTGAGTGAGTGAGTGAGTGAGTGAGTGAGTGAGGGAGTGAGTGAGTGAGTGTGTGAGTGAGTGAGTGAGTGAGTGAGTGAGTGAGGGAGTGAGTGAGTGAGTGTGTGAGTGAGTGAGTGAGTGAGTGAGTGAGTGAGGGAGTGAGTGAGTGAGTGTGTGAGTGAGTGAGTGAGTGAGTGAGTGAGTGAGGGAGTGAGTGAGTGAGTGTGTGAGTGAGTGAGTGAGTGAGTGAGTGAGTGAGGGAGTGAGTGAGTGAGTGTGTGAGTGAGTGAGTGAGTGAGTGAGTGAGTGAGGGAGTGAGTGAGTGAGTGTGTGAGTGAGTGAGTGAGTGAGTGAGTGAGTGAGGGAGTGAGTGAGTGAGTGTGTGAGTGAGTGAGTGAGTGAGTGAGTGAGTGAGGGAGTGAGTGAGTGAGTGTGTGAGTGAGTGAGTGAGTGAGTGAGTGAGTGAGGGAGTGAGTGAGTGAGTGTGTGAGTGAGTGAGTGAGTGAGTGAGTGAGTGAGGGAGTGAGTGAGTGAGTGTGTGAGTGAGTGAGTGAGTGAGTGAGTGAGTGAGGGAGTGAGTGAGTGAGTGTGTGAGTGAGTGAGTGAGTGAGTGAGTGTGTGTGTGTGTGTGTGTGTGTGTGTGTGAGAGTGAGTTTGTGTGTGTGTGTGTGAGTGTGAGTGTGTGTGTGTTCAATAAAATGAATGCAGACTTCTGTAGTGTATTACACATGCAACTGACTTTATCGGCGGCAGCAGCGCTGCTGATCTGAGACGGCTTGAGTTTGCCTTTGGCCACCAGCATGGCGTTGATCTTGGCAGCGACGGCGGCAGCAGCGTCCAGAGCTCCAGTCGGAGCAGAACCTCCATCAGCTCCAGACGACCCCGGACCGGCCTGGTCCCATTTACTGCGCCGGCTGACAGACACAACCACACATTATCCTTCATCATCATCATCATCTGTCTGATCAACACATTCACCTCAATCTAACAGAGAGTGTGTTAGTTCATTTCATTGAGCTGTAAATCATCATCATCAGAACCAAACTAACCCATCTCACAATTAATGAATCAACTTCCATAACCTCATCATCAGTGATAGAGATGCACATTCAATTGATTTGTGAAACACTTTGACAGATTCATTGAAAGCAGTTTATTTAAAATAACAAACCACGTCTACAGAAAATATATCTGACATGAAATATTTCAGAACACCAACTGACCACAAACAGTAAATACTTTAAAAGTTTGTGTGTGTGTAGTACTGTGCAAACCTCTTAGAACACTAGTATATGCAGTAAAAACGGATCAGACGCGGTTTATATGAGGTGTGGTGATCTGATATCTGGTTATATCGGTGTTTCTGCTTCTTGTTGTTGTTGTTGTTATGTAACGTCCGCCATTACCGGCGCGTCAGACGCGTTTCCCGCCGCAGAGCGCGACCGAACGCACACTTAACTTACCCGCCGCTGTGCGGGACACCGAACGACATCTGATGCGGGGAGTTTATGCTTCTGATTACGACGAACCAAACCGAACCGAACCGAACCGAACCGATCCGCTTCTGACGCTCCAACAGACAGACCAGCCAACGGAAACACAGCAAGCTGCGTCACTTCCGCTACCGTCGCGCATGCGCAGAATCTTATGACAAAACCCCTCACAAATGTCGTCAAACGCACTGTGATCTTCTGTGTATTTTGTATACATATTATTTTTTGTGTGTGCGTTTTATGTTTTCATGTGTATTATTGTAGTCCTAACCGTACTTTGACTGTGTTTATTGACGTTTAATAAAAACAAAAACTAATGCGTATTTATTATATTAGCTACATTATAAATACAATTATTAATTTTTCCATCATTTTCTAATAAATAAATAGTGACGGATCGCGTTATTTTAGGGATTGATCTCGAATAAGGTCATCCCGCAGTAAAAACCACACAAACATCTCTCTGTCGTTTCCTCGATGTTTGAGCACGTGTCTCCAGCAGATGGAGCTAAAACCTTAACCTAATCTTTCTAAAAAAAAAAAAGGCTCGTTTTAAAACTGCTCATTAATCTGGCTGCTTTTGATGCTTTTTGCTTTTTTTTTATTAAGCAGCATTACTGTATTGTAGGTTATTATGGAATATTAGGCTCTATTGTTGACCGTTCTGACAAAAATAATTTTGTTTAGCACTCACCTACGCAATGTCTTCGATACTTTGATATTAATCCAAGAGTTTTCGTGGAATCCAATCAAAAGCCGTCGGTCATGAATATTAATGAGCGCGGTGACGTCACCGGCAGGCGCACGTGCAGCGCACACACATTCACCACAAAAGATAAAAACACCAAGCTCGGTCACAAATGAAAGAACCAGCAGGATGCAGCAGTCAATTCATACAGAAATCTTGGTTTATTTGCTCTTTATTTGTACAATATGGGAAATGATTTGCCATCGCTGAGAAAGATTTCATTCTATGAACACAACACAGATCCCTGATTAAAGGCTTTCACCCCACACACAATCAAACCTTTGCTTTTGATATAAAACAACTCGGATTCAATGCATAAACAACTCATTTTAAGAGACAGGTGTAAAGAAACTACGTAATAACAGGGCGTTCATATTTCCAAGCACAAATATTTACAATAAATTAATATTTTGCATATCCACTTAGTGCATGGCTCAAGATTTCCTGAGAATAGTTGCAAAAAAAGAAAACAAACTAAGGCAGCTTGACCTTTTTACATAAAAAGAAAAAAATCAGAACTTCAGCAAAGTACTTAATATTCAAGACGCAAAGAGTTTTTGAAGGAATTGAGGTTTTACAATCATAAGTGGAGACTAATATTTCACAACACAAAGATCCCGTTTTAGTGCAAATAAACCTCTTTGGGTAGTCTCCCTGCAGTCAGACGAACAGTAACACACCAGACGAAACGAAATGCATCCCATAATCGATCGCGAGCGTCTCGGATAGATTACAGATCGCCCAAAGCTCCTGCAGTGAATGAAGCCGGCTAAAGCTATAGTTACAAACGTCACTGATTACTCATTTTTCATATAATGCAAATATTCTTTTTCTTTTCAAAAATATCTCAGATATGCATTTGCTCCAAAAAAAGGCAAGACTCCTCCTCCTCCTCGTTTCTTTCGGTCTGTTCCGTGCTGGATTGCAATTTAACTCAGAAATTCATGTGCAAAACTTGCAAGCAGAGGACGTCTGAGCCTCAGTTCTCTACAGCACCTGAGCGATCTGACCAGAGATCATCTACCTGAGGCTTTCCCATCCCAGACCAGGCTCCAGGAGTCGCTCCGAGAAGGACGCTTCGCAGGAAAGAGAAGATGCAGAATAACCCAAGCGCCTCAAACCAGGAAAGTCACAATAAATATCAAACCCACCAATAAATAAATAGAATAGTATACAAAAGAACTCTCCATCCTGCCATTTCTTTGCTCTTTTTTTAAAGAAAACTAGACCCCTTCTGAAAAGTTCTCGAGCGCGTTCACAAACATAAACGTAAACATTAAGATCCCGGAGGCCCACGCTCTGTGTCTCCATCCGAGCGTTTAAACGCAGAAAGCCTTTTATAACGTGCGAGAACTGAGACCTGCTCCATTTGAAGACATTTAAATATCTAATAAAAATACATCTCAAGTCCAAACTAACCAATAATCTTTGGTATGAAAGTAAATTTTATCATTTGAAAATAATTCCAAACTCATTTAATTGAGAAAAGGCTAAATTTCAGAGCAGCTACGGTAAATTATACAGAAGATTCACCTTCACGATGCTCGCCTGTAGGTGGCGACATGCTTTCGCGTTCTCATTGTGTGTTTTAAATCAGGTTTGTTCAAGCACTCGCTCCGGTTCAAATTTGGAAAAAAAGCGTGAACATCACCGGCCTAACAGAACATTAACAAAGCGAGACGGAGCTCCAAAAGCAGTCGATTTGGATTCATACAAGAACCACAGAAACCAATCAGATCGAGCGAGCAGAACCCTGCCGATTCTCCAGGAGCTCCACCAGAAACAGAAGACTACAGGACTCACCCGGGTTAAAGAAAGTGCACTTCCATCACGTACTTAATGTGCTCTGTTATCACGCACTAACTTTGTACTTCATACACTAAAAGTGATTCTTTAGTACTTCTTAAAGGGATAGTTCACCCATAAATGAATATTCTGTCATTAATGACTCGCCCTCATGTCGTTCCAAACCCGTAAGAGCTTCGTTCATCTTCAGAACACAACTGAAGATATTTCTGATGAAAGCCGAGCGCTCTCTGAGCCTCCATAGACAGCAAGCATCCGAACACCATCAAGACTCAGAAACATAGCATCGGTAAAATAATCCTCCGCGTCACCCTATATTTTGGAGAGCATCACATACGTACATTGGATACATTGTTTACGTCACTGACGCTTTGATCTGAACGTAAACAATGTATCCGCGTACATGTGTAGGTTGTTTATGTATGTGATGCTCTCCAAAATATAGGGTGACGCGGAGGATTATTTTACCGATGCTATGTTTCTGAGTCTTGATGGTGTTCGGATGCTTGCTGTCTATGGAGGCTCAGAGAGCGCTCGGCTTTCATCAGAAATATCTTCAGTTGTGTTCTGAAGATGAACGAAGCTCTTACGGGTTTGGAACGACATGAGGGCGAGTCATTAATGACAGAATATTCATTTATGGCTGAACTAACTAAGACTTCAAGGCTGATGACACACGGGGTAACTTTGGGCAATGTTCCCGTCAGCAGGCAACCAGGTGAGACCCCGGGCCCATGACCGATCTAAAGTACTCCGATTAGGGCTGGGCAATAAATCGAGAACGATTTATAACGTAGACTTGAAATGTATTAAAATGACAGAATATTCATTTATGGGTGAACTATCCCTTTAAGAAGTATTAAAGAATCACTTTTAGTGTATTAAGTACAAAATTAGTGCACAGAAATAGAGCACTTTGAGTACATTATTATGGAAGTGCACTTTTTTTCACCTGGGGACTCACACTCATACACACACACACTCACACACACACACACACACACACACACACACACACACACACACTCACACACACACACACTCTCACTCATACACACTCATACACACTCACACTCACTCATACACACTCACACACACACAGGTAGGCGTGGTCACTCTTCCTCCTCCCCAGCAGCATCCTGCTCCTCCTCTTCCTCCTCCCAGGTTCGATGCGCGACCGATGCGCTTCCATGCGGAGACGCGCCTCCTTCAGCTTTCTCCAGGGCTTTTCCCGCCGGCGCGGGAACCGCCCGCCACAGCAGCTCCGGATAGGGCATGCGGGCCCCTGGCAGCAGGGGGACGGGGACGCTGTGGCCCTCCAGGATCTGGACGAAGGACCCGCTGTGTTGGGGGCCGGTGGGGCGGCGCGGGCGGCGCATGCGGAGCTCCAGGCAGCTGTGGCCCTTCCTGTGGCGCTGCAGATGGTCCTCGCGGGCGAAAGCCTTGTGGCACAGCGGACACTCGAAGGGCCGGTCCCCGCTGTGCAGCGAGAGATGGTTCTTCAGGTCGTAGGAGTGCAGGAACCGCGCGGGGCAGCTGGGACACGGATACGGCCGCTCGCCCGTGTGCTTCCGCATGTGGATCTTCAGCTTGTCGTTCCTGAGATGAGAAATTAATAACTCCAATTAACATGGAAAAGATACCTTTTATCACATGAGGATTATTGGTGCCCCTCTGCACAACCTCCAAGATCTCTACGCCTCCAGAGTGAGGAAAAGGGCTCAGAAAATCACTCTGGACCCCTCACACGCTCTCTTCCATCTGCTATATTTAGCCTGAACAATTAAAACAACTATACACTGTCCGTCACAACTGACATGTTTAAACATATTTGTAGCTACATGGAATCCCAAATTTGTACATTTGTAAACTGCACACTTGTAAACAACATATCTGAACATTCATTCAAACAATAACAATTGTTTCCTTCTATACTTCTGTGTATTATTTAATTTTCTGTTTTTCTTATATTAGTGTTATATTCCATTCCTATGTATGTCTGCACTATGTCTGTACTTTCTTCTGCACTGGAAGCTCAAGTCAAATTACTTGTGTGTGTAAACATACTTGGTAATAAGCTCTTTATGATTCTGATTTCACGTCGAGTGTAGTTAGGACACGGTGTAAGTCTTAATATCAGCTGTCTGTCTCATTAACGTTAATCTAACAATAAAAGAGAAGAGGGAATCACTCGCTGCACTCGCTTGAACTGCTTCTGTAGTTTCAATAATCAATTTATTTGTAATGAGCACACTAAATGGATTTTTGCATTTGATCATTTGTTTTCTTATTTAAATGCTTTTGTTTAAATGTAAAATTAAAACGGTAATGCATTATTTGTTTCTTATATTTGTATACTTTTTTGCATCTGTTCCTATTTGTGACCCTGGACCTAAGCACCACAGGTATATTTGTAGCAATAGCCAGCAATACATTGTATGGGTCAAAATTATACATTTTTCTTTTATGCCAAAAATCATTAGGATATTAAATAAAGATCATGTTCCATGAAGATATTTTGTAAATGTCCTACCGTAAATATATCAAAACTTAATTTTTGATTAGTAATATGCATTGCTAAGAACTTCATTTGAACAACTTTAAAGATGATTTTCTCAATATTTAGATTTTTTTGCACCCTCAGATTCCAGATTTTCAAATATTGTCCTATCCTAACAAACCATACATCAATGGAAGCTTATTTATTCAGCTTTCAGATGATGCATAAATCTAAATTGCTCAAAAACTGACCCTTATGACTGGTTTTGTGCTCCAGGGTCACCATTTATAATAACAAAAATAAAATAAAAAATAGCTATATTGTGATTAGAAAAGAACTGGAGGAAAAGATGCAGCGTTGCTGGGTGATTTTGTTTTGGAACCTCAGAAAACTTTAACTCGATTTTTCTTCAAACGGCTGTAGCTCAGTCATTTTTCCTCACAAATGTAGACTCATTTTGGTCACAAATGTAAAACCTTGGCTAGACCGGACCGTACCGTGTGAAGCGGACGCCGCAGGCCGAGCACTGGAACGGTTTCTCTCCCGTGTGTGTCCTCATGTGCCGTGGCAGCTTTCCCGCCCCGTGGATGATCTTCTGACAGACGGGACACTGCTGAGGCGTCTGAGACTTCCTCTTCCTGCCGCTTCCGGCCATTGCTCCGCCTCCTGCACCATCGCCCTGTGATTGGCCGAGTTGGGGCGTGGCCCGCCCCTGCGCTCCAGACTCCTCCTCCTCCGAGGGCGTGTCTTCGGGTCTGTGCGTGAACTCCTGCAGCCAGTGCGAGCCTCCGTTCACCAGCAGCCCCGGGGGTCCTTGTGCGGGAAGCAGCCCACATTCGGGCGTATCCGGCGCCGTTGGACTCCTCCACACCGGCCTCACGGGAGACACGGCTCGGGCCACGGAGCAGCGGTCCTGCTTGCGTCGGGACGCCGGCCTCACAGCCTCCTCCGCCGGATCCTCGCCCGTCTCTAGAGATGCAACGGTATGAACATTTCTTATCACGGTGTTGTTAAAATCTGCTGGAAATGTTCAAGGAGTACTGACACATAAACCGTTTCACCAAGTTTTATATTTAAAATCAACAAACAACAAATAAAATTACTTTTTGTTTGCATAAACACTAAAACAACAACATTACCAATGATGTCCGGATTTTAAACGACAACAGTTTATCTAATAACATGTAAGAAATGTTCAAATAAAGTTTCATAAAATGGTAAAGCTCGCATTTCAGCCTTTAAATAAAGAAAGGGGTTAAGTCAAAATGATAACTGATTAATAAATGATGATATGAATTGTATCTGCTCCATTTCTAAACACCTTTTCCGAATTGTTTGAATGCGTATAATCCACATAAGCATGTTTTTCATCAACCGGTCATAAATTACAGCAGGGCATGCAGATTCAGTCAGTTTTTTGTCCAGACAGAAGATGCACACAGGCTGAATGTGAGTCTCTGTAAATCCACTCTCTGACAGCAGGGGGCGCTCATGGAGCAGCAGAATTACAGCTGTTTCCCGTAAAGAACACTAGTTTATTAGCTATTACATGAAGCGAAGATGAAAACAAAATGCCATCCAATCTTTTCTGAAGACAGTCAGAACCTTCAGAGGTACATTCACATAATTCATTCATTCATATATTCATTTGTATAATTCCCTCAGCACTCGTTTAAAACCTCGCAGTTTTTCCTCCATGTTTTCACTTGAAACTAAACTACTCTGCTGCTGTTACTGAAAACTGTGCTTTATGCTGAATAGTATTTATTTATCCTGAGTTGTTCAAATCACGGTAATCAAACATGGTTTTAATTAGGGGTGTGTGATATTGACAAAAAATAACATCTCAATATTTTCTGGGATTTTTTCAATAATTAGACGATATTTTGCTGAGTGTGTTAAGACTACCGTGGACAGCTGACTCCTAAAGTTTTTGATATTCTTCATATTCTGTGTGTGGTCAGATCACACTGAGAGAAATTAATCTTTTCCAAAAAGTTTAAATAGATTTTTACCCTTTTATGGGCATTTTTACCTTTATAAAGCCATTTTGTCCTAAAAGTGTGCATCTTTTGAGTCATATTTTTACAGTGAATTAGAATAATAGGACATTTGGGCTGTTAACAAGCAAATTAAATTAGTATCAACAAAATTAATCTTTGCAGAGGCTGCATCTGAACTGGCATTTAGATGTGTTTACACTCTGTTTAATGCAGCTCTGAGGGACATGGAACGCTTTAAACTGAAGTAACAAATACATAAATAATGTTTTGATATTTTAAACATAAAACGTGGAATACTGTTATTTGAATTTATTTAAATAATAAAAAGAAACTTTAATGTGAAATTAAAACCGCCAGTAGGTGGCAGCATGTCACTGTTAATAAGGGAGTCTGAAAAAGTAATAAATAAGTGAGAATTGTGATTGAACCGAATCATTTAAACGGTTGATTCATTCAGGAACGAATCACCATCATGTTGCTCAGAGACACAAAACAGTGCTGTGGCTGTGTTTGGAATTATTTTTGTTGGAGAAAGAGAGCAAAAACAGCCAATATAGTGTCTAAAACATAAGTCTCTTAATATTTAACTTAATGTTTATTGCACTGTTGTATAAAATCAATATCACATTTGTAATCATGCTTATTTAAGAAAAAAATGGCACTCTTCATGTGATATTAACTAAATGAAATGATATAAATATATACATTTTCTGTCCGCATATCTTGAACTTTGTGATAATTCTAAATGCAATTTAATAGACTGAATCATGCAGTGAAAGAACGCACTCTAAATGCGCACGTGCACTAGTAGTCGTGCATGCGTGCACTCTGTAGGTGTGTTTTGTTTGGTTTTTGCGATTTACTCAATGTCAAATCGCACATCGTTAAAACAACAATTACGATATATATATATCGCACACCCCTAGTTTTAATAATAATTCAAATATGTGACCCTGCAGCACAAAAGCAGTCATAAGCAGCACAGGTGTATTTGTAGCAATAGCCAACAATACATTGTATGGGTCAAAATTATACATTTCTCTTTTATGCCAAAAATCATTAGGATATTAAGTAAAGATCATGTTCCATGAAGATATTTTGTAAGTGTCCTACTGTAAACATATCAAAACTTAATTTTTGATTAGTAATATGCATTGCTAAGAACTTCATTTGGACAACTTTAAAGATGATTTTCTCAATA